GTTTGGGCAAGGACACAGGGACCCCATGATCCCCTATTGTCCAGGGGCCCCATGATCCCCTATTGTCCAGGGGCCCCGTGAGTTGTCAGTCCGCCCCTGATACAGTGTCTACATATTCACATTAATAAAATAAATGTTCACAATAAAAAAATTATGATTTATTGTAGACATTTATATTTATAAAAGTTCAACTCTAGGTTAAAAGCAAAACATGTTGCTAGTTGTAATGATATGTAGCCGGGTACCCGCCGACTAGAGGAGCGCCCGTTCTTCTTCCTCCCACCACTGCACAGGGACAGAGTAGCGTGGCGCGGGCTGTGTCTGTGATCCAATGCTCACCCCTTGGTTAGCGGCAGTGAGGTCTGTGAGTGGAAAGAGGACTTGGGAGTGCAGCCATGCCTTCCCCCTCTCTCCTGGATGATGCAGCCACAGTGGATAATGGCACTTGTAGTCCCGGGGGGGAGCACTGTACCATAGAGTGATCAGGCTTAACTCCATGATACCTTACAAGAGAGGAGGAGATGACACAGTTTTCCTTGGCAAATGTGGGGAGATCTGGGCAGAGCAGTGCAGGGAGCCAGAGAGTGTGGACCTGTTGCTGTGTGGGTCTGCCCCAGAAGAGAGTCTGGTGAGGGCCAGAGTGCCAAGGACTGAGTGTCAGGGCAGGGCTGTGGAATGGACAGGTAGGCCTAGTGGCAGGGTAACGCACTGGCTGATGACAACCACCACCAACAGACCGAAGTCCCTCAGGGCGCGGAGTCTAAGTCCCAGGCTGCCCTTCACCAGGGCCCCTGATGGTGGGGATGGACTTGACGCAGCCAGGAACCAGGTCGCGGCCCCCGAGACACCCCGGCTGTGGTAATGGCCGCCGCTAATGGCGTGTAGCTGGTGAGAATGACAATAGCGTAGTCAGGCAAGCCGGGTCAACAACAACGGGACAAAACAGTACAGAACAGTAGACAGAGAATCACAGGTCACGGGCCGGGTTCAGCAACGGAAGGTCAGATCGAAGGGAAACACAGAGAATGGTCTTAGTCACAAGCCGAGTCAGAATACCAGAAGAGTCACGAGCGTATACACAGAGCTGTAGCAAGACAAAGACACAAGACACAAGTGCAAAGAGCATGTGCAGATCCCAGGCTTATATGTACTCAGCCACACCCCTCTGGGGGATGGACCTCAGAGACCTGAAGGCATAAAAGATTCCCATCATGCTCAGCAGAAATCCAAGATGGATGCCAGCACATGGAGTAACATAACCTCTGGGAAAAGGTAGGACCTTGACACTGAGCCACTGAGAGCCTCTGATGACAGCGGACTGTGGGGTACAGACCTGCTGCTCCTATCTGTCTTTGCCCACCTTCAGGGAGACTGACCCTGAGAGAGCCAGAGGACTGTGTCACAGGAAGGTTTTTCACTGTACTGGGACCAGAGCTGGAGAGACCTGTTGCCGTGTGAGTGCCTACACCAGAGAGAACAGAGCCTTGTGGGGACCTGATTGTGAGGACCAAGCAACCAGAGACCACAGACTGCCACGTGTTTTGGACTGGATCTGCCCCTAGTAAACTTCAGTAGAGACTTTATTTACTTAGCAGACCAATGCTCGCCCACTGCATACAGTTTAAAGAGTCAGCAACACATGCACCACCGTACAGATGGACCTCAACATTAGCCTGCCTAAATTTGCATATCAGGCACCAGGTACATAACAGTCAACCCAAGGGGTACCCCTCTCAAGAACACATACACTCACCTGCTCTTGGCTGTATGCACCAAGTGCACTTGAGGACACTCTTTGATTGGCTGAGGGTTACAGTGAGATTTTCTTATGCTGATCCTATTAATGACACATATCAGTGAAATTTTGGTTTAGCTTTATTGTAGTTTAAGTTAATTGTTAATTGCTGCCGGTGCAGCAATCTCCCCCGCTGGGCCTTTGCGTTCTAACATTGCATGTGTTAGTACGGCAATCTGTCAGGTTTTTTTTTTCCGTTCAGCCCACTTGGTTGAACAAAAAAAAATGTACATGTGTACCAGGTTTAACATTATACAGGTGCGGCCTTCCATGTTTGTCAGATTGGACAGAGCAATGTACAGACTTGTGGCAGAACAGTGAACCCAAGTGGCTCTTGTGGGGGGTCAGTGCTACACGTAATATGGTTTTGATTAATCCTCTGTATGCATGATCATGATCTTGCTATTCTTAGAATTTTGACTGAGAAAATAATTTTTGTGTTGGAGGAGCAGCACAGGATAGTGGGCTTCAGGAAAAAAGTATAAGTCTGTTCCTGATATTTTACTCAAATGGCTGCATTTTTGTTGTTCACAGTTAACACCTATTGGAAACTTTATCACCAGCCAGTAAGTAGCTGTTTTTTTAAGGTGCAATAAAATGTGCAATAATCTAATATTTATAATTCAGCGTGGACAATCTGCAGACATAATCTTTCTTACAGTTTTAAGCATTGGTTCACACTGATGTGAACACTTCCATTGCCGATCATTGGATGAGCTTTGTCACGTGATTTGAACGGTGAAATCACATGACAAATCGCATTCAAGGATCGGAAATGGAGCAGTTCTAATCGGACGAAGTCGGAGTTGCACCGATTAGAAAACTAGTTCCTGCGCTACTTTTGCTGAACAGGTACAAGATTTATTTCTGATGAGCATCACCTAGACCAACAGAAATACTGGTATGGACTGTGGATAGATACAAGATGCCAATGTAGACCTTTTTAAGGAAAATAATGTATTATTTGTCCAATGACTGCAAACATATTAAGGTCTGCAATACTAGTCACTTAGACCTTACTTCAGTTGTGTAATATGTAAGTGATTACCAGTTTCTTTTTATCATATACAAAATACTGCAATTTTATAAGTCTCAAGAAAGCCAGTATTCTCTTTACAATCAAATGGCTGTCAGCTGTAACAATACTTACATAAGTTATTCCACCCTATTCCCGAATGTATTGCTAGACCACACAACTCATAACCACTCCCCATGTTGAACCACTCATCAAATTGCTCTGTTTTCTGTTGTCAACCTACCCCAAAGTTTGTTTTGGCCAAAGGAAACACCATTTACTTTTCTGTCAACGTAAAAAAGGTTGTCCTAAAGTGAAATTCCAGTTAAAATGAAAACTACCCTTTATTGATATGTATAATATATTAAAAAAATTATAACATGCAATTTTGGAATTGCAAAATGTCTAATTAGAAACAGTCTAATCGAGACATTCTATAGTTCTCTTCTGCCTAACCGACAATGGTGTGTCTGTGCAGCCAAATGTGGCTGCTCACAGGCACTTCCTGGTACCATTGTCAGTGTCGGTGTAAGGAACAAAGCACAACCCTAGCTCCATCCTGCCCTTGACCCTCCAGGCATTGCCCCTGTCCTGCCTGGCCCTATACCTATCCCTCCCAGCACAGCCCCATGTATGATATCATGTTTTCTTATGAATGAGGATGAATACGTGTCCTCATTCATGAGAGTGCTCTGACAGGAGGAACAGGAGGAAGGAGACACATCCACCAGACATATGAAGATTCATGCACGTGACTGCAATACATTATAATTAAAGTAAATCACAGATTTTAAAAATTGTACACGTAACAATAAACCTACATTTTTTATTTTAACTCAGTCTTTCCCAACTGGGGTGCCGCAGTATCCTGGTTGAGAAAGGCATTCAGATCAGACTGTGCTCCCACTGCTCTGCCTATCTATACAATGGGGGCTTGATCAGGGCAGTGAATTGCAAACCAGTGAAAGGGGGAGGCATCTTCCCAAGTCCTGACCACTCCGCCTCCCCCAACAATGCAGCACATAGCATAGTGTGAGTGCAGGTAAAGTACTGACATTTTTAATAAGGCTATCTGTATGTGTGTATGTATGTGTTTTTGTGTGTTTGTGTGAATGGATTGCTTTTCAGAGGCATTTGACAGGTGGGAAGAAGCAATTTGTCACCTTCTCAATGTCTGTTAACCTCCTAAATGCAGCATCACCATGTTGCAACCGCTTGTAATGCACACAGTTGCAAGGTGGTTGCACACAGATATACCTCCTGGTGTTGCCACATGTGTACCTCTCTGCCTGCTGCCTCTGCAGCTGAAGGGGGAAGAGTTGGGGTGGTAGAAATGCAGTTCAACTACGTGGTTTTACTGTCCCCCAACTTCATGTGTGAACAAGCCCTTGCTTCACATCTGTGTGGCTACCTGTTGCGTGTTGGGCAGCACATTCATGTCAATGAGCTGCCCTAACCACAGAAATGCACGGAAAGACGTTCTCGACCCATTTTTCACCAAAAATGCACCACATTAGCCAATGTGTGAGGGTACCATTAAAAAATCAATGACACCTATGCCCTCTGCTAAAGAGCAGCACATCTGTCTACTTGTTGGGAATGTGCATGATCAGGCACTCAGTACTGTGAACCAAGCCTTAGACTTGGGTGCCTCCAGACTGAAAATACTTTTCAATGATGCCGTGACTGGTAAAAGGTGGAGGAAAAACTGGTTTAACTGATTGTGGGGAGTTAATTAAACACAAGGCTTTTGTTCAACTTTAATCTTATTTTGATCTACCATAAAAATTGTGCTAAAGAAATATTTCTTTTTGCCTATAGCAAGTAATCAGTCATTTCTGCCAGGTTAAGCAAAACAACGATGCTAAAGGATTTCTATGAGCAACCAGGTTTTTTTTTTCTACACCACAAATTTCGTTACTACCTACATTTTCAAACAGCACTCAACACACTTCTGAGAATAGCTCTACTTTCATTAAAGTGTTACTAAACCCAGGACCCTGCATTCACTCTGTCTGGTCTCCCACAGTACACAGAACATGGAAATGCAATTATTTTAGTAAATATAAACTGCTAAATACCTTTTCTCATCAGCAGTTAGAGCAGTCTTTTGACTTCTTTCAGTGTCCAGCAGAGCACTGGTTAAAGCTTGTAGGAGGAGTTTTAATTCTGCTGTAGGAGGATGCAGAGCCCCTGACTTCTGTCTGTAGAGTGTTGATTGGCCCTGTGCTGATCACATGCACTCTCCCAAAAAAAAAAAAAAAAAAAACTCTCTAGTAATACACACCAAACTGAGCATGTGCAGAGTGTCTCCACACGATATGTCTTATCAGGAGAACACTGGAAGAAGAGGAGGATCAGAGAATTCAGCATCACAATAACAATTTATTCTGGCCATTGAAGTGAACACCGAAGCGTTAAATCTGCCTAGAGTTAACATGTGTTTAGTCATGTTTGGATGCGTTTACATGCGTCAAGCTGCTCCTGGACGCATTGGTCCTAGGTTTTTTCCTGCTGGTAAACTCCCCTGCCAGTAAAAGCTTCTAAAAGCCTATGTGTGCATGGGCACATAGGATAACATGGAGGGGCATTTGGAAGCAGTAAAAAAAAAAATGCCTGACACCCCTAAGGCCTCATGCACACTGGGCATTTTTACAATTACTGTTTTGAACGTCAGTAAACTCCCCAGCATGGTATCCTATGTGTTTATGCACACACAGGCGTTTATCAGCATTTTTTGGCAGGTGTGTTTTCAGGCTGGAAAAAAACCTGCAGAAGAAGTGCGTATGAAGAGGAGTTTTTCATTTGTAAATATGCTCTAATGCTGAAAAATTCTGAAAAACGCAGCTACCCAGTGTTTGTGAGCGTTTTTTTTTTGAACCTCAAGCTTTTTGTGGGAGTATAGTTTTGCTAAAAAAACACAAACACTGAATAACACTGAAAAACACTGAAGCACTGAAAAACACTAAAAAATGCGACAAAACAGCTAATGCTACTGGCATTTTTATAACGTCCAGTTTGCACAAGGCCTTAAAGTGGCTGCAAAAACACCCTGTGTGCATGAGGCCCTAAAAAAATGTTTTTTTTTATAAATCTGAGCACATAGAGATAGGAATAAAAATATCAGAGTCCTAATGTGTTGGCAGTTGAGACCATCTATAAAGTACTGACTAGATGGTATCTGGCCCCAATTAGATTTGGGATCGGGAACTTATATGCACATATTCAATAGAGAAGATGGAACTTTCCCGGTACATGAACATGAATACCAAACATATTAAAAAGTTATATAACGTTTTAATATGTTTGGTATTCATGGTCATGTACCCTGAAAGTCCCATCTTCTCTATTGAATATCTGCAGTTTTAAGGGATGTGGTGCAATATTCCTATCTGGCGGCCTGCTCGCCACTTCACTGTTACTTTATGGTGGGACTGTCCAGTGCCCAAGACTTCTGGAAAGCTATCTTTACACTGGCCTCCACTGTATTTGACCTACCTCTCAGTCCAGACCCTACAATTGAACTCCTTAACCTGAGATCAGCACTTTTGACACATAGGCAATTCAAGGTTTTGATCCAACTCTTAACTGCCGCAAAACAAATGTTAGCTAGAGCCTGGAAATCTCCCTCCTTGGTAGTGGCTGAAACCAAACATAGAATGAATCACACCTTTGATTCACGCAAAGATGGAGGCACTTGAAAAAGACCAGATGGGCAAATTCGATAGAATATGGCAACCCTGGATCAAGCACTGTTTACCGCCTGATTTGAAGCTACAGTGCTTAAGCCTTGCTAATGTAATCTAACCCATGGACCATACTTACCGAATACTAAGCAGCTGCACATCCTCTGGGGAACTCCTTACTACCTTCTATTCCCTTTTTCCCCCTCTTTTTTTTTTCCCCTTTTTCTGGCTTCTCTTCTTTCCACTTTTCAGTTTGTGTCTCTCCTATTGCTCCTGACAATCTTTTGCTATGACTTTTATACAGCAGAACTTAGCGAATCCATTTGTACGATGCACCCTGGGCCTAACCTCCATTGCAATTCTCACGCAGTGATTCAGTATCCACTTGAGAATGTCAGGAGCTATCACTCAGCTCAGTTGATTGGTCCTCGAAGCCACTATCCATATATTCTTCGCTATACTATTGATATCTATACGATGTTCCATTTGCAATCCAGGACTAAACTCAGTTTTGTAACCATTGTACACTAGACATACCTGGACAGTCTGCTTTGTATCTGATTCTTGTTTTGTTACTCGTTAAACCAGGAGTCTCCAAACTTTCTAAGCAAAGGGCCAGTTTATTGTCCTTCAGACTTTAGAGGGGGGCGGATGTGTCAGTGGAAGGAATAGTATCCCCATCATTGGTGTCAGTAGGAAAAACCGTGCCCCAATGTTGGTGTCAGTAGAATAAATAGTGCCCATAGTTTGTGTCAGTGTAAGGAATAGTACCCCATCATTGGTATTAGTAGGAAGAATAGTGCCCCATCACTGACGTCAGTATTGCCCCATCACTGGTGTCAGTATTGCCCCATCACTGGCATCAGTATTAAAAATAGTACCTCATCACTGATATCAGTAAAATGAATAGTGCCCCATAGTTGGTGTCAGTGGAAGGAATAGTACTCTATCATTGGTGTCACTTGGAAGAATAGTGCCCCATCGTTGGTGTCAGTAGGAAGAACAGTGCCCCATCATCGGTGTCAGTAGAATGAATAGTGCCCCATAGTTGGAGTCAGCGGAGGGAACAGTACCCCATCATTGGTGTCCGTAGGAAGAATAGTGCCTCATCATTGGTACCAGTAGGAAGAATAGTGCCCCATAGTTTGTGTCAGTGGTGGGAATAGTACCCTATCATTGGTGTCTGTAGGAAGAATAGTGCCTCATCATTGGTGTCAGTAGGAAGAATAGGACCCCATCATTGGTGTCAGTAGAATGAATAGTGCCCCATAGTTGGTGTCAGTGGGAGGAATAGTGCCCCATCATTGGTGTCAGTAGAAAGAATAGTGCCCCCCAGTTGGTGTCAGTGGTGGGAATAGTACCCTATCATTGGTGTCTGTAGGAAGAATAGTGCCTCATCATTGGTGTCAGTAGGAAGAATAGGACCCCATCATTTGTATCAGTAGAATGAATAGTGCCTCAGAGTTGGTATCAGTGAAAGGAATAGTACCCCATCATTGTGTCAGTTGGAAGAATAGTACCCCATAGTTGGTGGCAGTGGTGGGAATAATACCCTATCATTGGTGTCCGTAGGAAGAATAGTGCCCCATCATTGGTGTCAGTAGGAAGAATAGTGCCCCATCATTGGTGTCAGTAGGAAGAATAGTGCCCCATCATTGGTGTCCGTAGGAAGAATAGTGCCCCATCATTGGTGTCAGTAGAATGAATAGTGCCCCATAGTTGGTGTCAGCAGAGGGAATAGTACCCCATCATTGGTGTCCGTAGGAAGAATAGTGCCCCATCATTTTCATCAGTAGGAAGAATAGTGCCCCATCATTTGCGTCAGTAGGAAGAATAGTTTGTGTCAGTGTGAGGAATAGTGTCTTGTATCAATGAGAGGAACAGTGCCCCAAGGGCTGGATAAAGGCAAGCAAAGTGCCGCATCTGGCCCCCGAGCCACAGTTTGGAGGCCACTGTGTTGAAACAATAAAAAGTTTGAACAAGAAAAATATCAGTCTTTATGGAGCTTTGATATTTTAGTGAGATAATCTTAAACTGCAACAAGACAAACAAATGGCACATTTCCAGGAATAAAAAAAAACATTCCAGTTTTATATTTATTTAATAACAGAGGTTGTATATAACAGACTTTGCTAACAATTTTCTAACAAATATTAATGTATTTTAGCTATACATTAGCTAGGACTAACTTAGACTGTTCTTTTGTTAAAGGTCAGGAAATTCTAATACTATTTTATTTTATTTTTTTTGCATGAACTGCTTGAAATGTTATACTCTGCACTTTGTTGCAAGACACCAGAGCAAACAGGGAGCTGGCTGTGTTGAAGCTTGTATCTAAAAATATGTCATAGTATGTTCCCTACCTCCCCTGTCCTGATGCCAAATGAGGAGTACTCTGTGCCCTTTCTCCTACTTAGTTAACACGGTTGTTGTTGACATTCTCAGTAATCCCTTTCATAGTACATAACCCGTGAATGTGCTAAAATAAAAAATAAATAAAAACAACAGCTGTTTGTCAGTTCCATTGACCTAATCCACCTTCCAACTGCTCACCCTTTGTGACTCACTAACTGTCTGTCTCTTTGGTTACTATCATCTTAAAGAATGTATTTCAAATGTAGACTGCCATTGCTGAATTCTACCTAAACTGGAACTGCACTGCATCTGATCACCACAAAGCAAAAATGCTATTTAATTAAAGTGTTACTAAACCCACAACAGTAAAATCAATCCATATATGCAATAAAGCATGCTTGTTATACTCACTGTGGAACTTAAAGGGTTAATCCTCTGCATTGTGTAAATAGGATGTTTCCTCTTTTCTTCTCTAATCTTCCCCTTCTTCCACTGTCTCCTACTCATCTCCTGATAGAATAGAGCCTTGGGGGCAAGCTGCACATGCTCAGTTTGGTATGTATTGCTAGAGAGCTTCTTATTTTTTTTGTTCTTGAGAGGGTGCATGTGATCAGCACAGGGCCAATCAGCACTGTCCAGACAGAGGGTCAGGGGTCCTTTGGTCTCATAGGACAGTGAGAGGAGAATGAAAACTCCTCCTACAAGCTTTAACCAGTGCTCTGCTGGACACTGATAGAAGTCACAAGACTTCTCTAACTTCTGATGAGAAAAGGTATTTAGCAGTTTATATTTACTAAAATAATTGCACTTCCATGTTCTGTGTACTGTGTGTGTGAATACAAGGGTCCTGCGTTTAGCAAAACTTAAATTTGTAATATTCAAAGCAAACTCCCCCATCCATCTATGTCACTATGCTTTATTTGCAGAGAAATCACTTCAACCCCGATCCCCCCCCCCCTAGCATTTCTGACAGTGGTCATCTTGAGTAAGGGCACATGATTCATGTAGCATTGACTTCCTAGATTCCATCTGCCCTTAGTTCAGGCATATAATCAGAAGGGTGTACTGAAAAAAAAAAACCCTCCTCCCCTCCAGAAGACTCTTGGGATGTATGACAACATTGGCCTAGGCAAGAAACCAGGAAGTAACTGAAGAAACATTTTTAAAAAATAGCTTAAAACAAGTAAATATGATATACTTTCCTATCTATTTACTAATCCTAGCAGCATAAGGATTAAAAATAGTCAATGTTGATTGAGAGAGTGAAGTTCCAGATTAAATTGGTAGATGCCTTGTCACGGTGATCTTCTGGCTCAGAACAAATATGTAGATGAGGAGTTCTGTGCAGTGTGCTTGTTTCAGCTCAATGACTCATAAAGCGCTATACAGTAGCCAGGAACAACAAGTTAAT